AGCAAAGTCGCCATGGCATCCCTTGACCAAGTTGAGGCAGAAATGCTTAAAATTCATGCAGGTTCACCTAATATAAATCTGGTTGAGAATATATTCCATCTTGTGAAATCTCAGTTAAATACACTGGCAGGAACAGAGAATATCACCAGTGAATCTTAAAAACAGTTTCAAACTCGAGTTCTTCAAGTATTGAGAACATTCCCTACAACATCATTGATAAAACAATTGACAGTATGGGCAAGCGAATAAATAAAATGATTTTGTCAAAGACAAAGGGATATTGAACAAAATACTGAATAATTATAGGTATACTATTAATAGTAACGTATTAATATATGTAAACAATTGTCCGATAATATTTCTTGTCAACAGTGTACACACAATAAATCGTTTGTTATAACTTGTATCAAAGAAATTTTAACCTACATTGCATTGAGTTCATTATTGTGCGAGTTGGTCTTTATACCGAAATGAAGAACGGCGTGATTGAAAGGATTTTAATACCATTTTTAACAGTGCTCACTCAAATCCAACTATAAAATGTGCATTGTTTACTTATGGCGTTTGTGGTGAGAAATGTTGAAACCTGCATAAACAAATTCTATTTTGCCTTAACAAGCAAATATGTAGGGTACGGTTAACCGTTAATTCAACAGTAAGTTAGATTTGTCTTATTTCTTTACGATTTCTGAGTGAGAAATGTACAGTTACGAACGTAAACTATTAAATGCCACATTTCACAGACAGTGTTGGTAATTATTAAACCTGTCATATGTCACATTAATCATATTGAAACACAACAGCGGAATTGTCTGCTTTCGTGTAGAAAGTTCTACTAAATCCATAATCTAAATAAAATCTATTTTCTTATGTTTTAAATAAATAAAAACATAATTTGAATATAGTCGCACTTTCAGACAATCATGGCCAATTGTTTGTGGAATGCAAGCTAATTAAAGGTAAAGGTATGTGAGTTACAATATTGTCGCAGGTTTCACAAAAAAAGAACTCCCCCGGCCCCCCTTTCCAATGTTGATCCTAGTGTTAATAAATGAGATTGTGTGATGCTTATTCCGAGCAGAAAACAATCCCAAACAACATTGACTGGGGGGAAGGTTTTTTTTTTATTCAAATTAAGGGTAGAAACACAAAATCGCACTTTACGTTCCACAACATTTGGCCATGATTGTAGCCCCTTTTTTCCACATTTGCTGGGCTTGGTGTATGCGACTTTGTTGGGTGTTTGCTTCTGATATAGTTAAAACACGTATCACATCTCAAAACTGATAACACTCGTTCTTGATCCCCAGAAATCTGATATGCTTGCATCGTTGAACAAGATCTACTATGTTCTACAGCAGCTCAGCTGTTTCTCCGGCAGACTTGCTATCAATTGCCAACAATATTGTAGATTTGCTTCCACCCTTTGCTGAGTTTGCAGTTGAATTCAGTTTGAAGGCCTTAAATTCCTGGGTGAGCATATCTAATTTAGCATGTAAAAAAAACATCAGAAGTAGCCCTTGAAAAACCTTGACCTTGTGAAAGCATTGTTGTCGACAAGTCATCCACATTTTTTATGCTTATATTCAGTGTTGATTGTATCAAATGTTGAGATGCAGGAGGGCTAGAAATCCCAGTTTTTTATATTAGTGTAGATTGCGTATGTGCAACAGGTGTATGTTTTTATTGTATTTCAAATAAGACAAATAGTGTTACCTAAAACAAGTTGCACATATTCCCCAATCCTGCTTAACATCTTTTTTTGCCATTTTTAATGACCAATGTGCGTTGTCAACCTCTGATTGGTCTGAAGCTTTACGTTTAACACCTTGAGATGTCTTAGCTGAGCAGAAAAGACAATCAGCTAATTAATCATCAGTCAATGCCACTCAGTAAAAGTTAAAATAATTTGCGAAAAAGGCTGCAATGAAAATGCTTCTGCTAAATACACTTACAATACAGCTGCACATTACTAAAATAATTAACCTGTCTCAAATTTTATTTAATCTCAAATACTGCACACATTTAAACATGAGACTTGTACACAACTACATTATAAAATTAATACATAAGATTCTTCTTCAATTTCTTTGGATTTTTCCTCTCCAGGGATTCATTCATACCCAATTACCGAAAGCGGAAAGCCCTCAAACTGCTCAAAGCAGTCAAAGGGCAATGATAATGGTTGAAAAAAAAAATTAAAAAGCACATGAATAAACATGATATTTAGTAGCACTGAAAGGAATACGTGTCGGCGTAGATTTTTGCATGACAGTTTGCCGTACATGTAAAATTTGCTGCCAAAATTATTTATACAGTATTTTGTCAATTGAATATTTATTATCGTAAATTATTTCAAATACAAAGTTTTCATGGCGTTTTATAATACATTAGAAATTTAGAACAACAATCGTGCCACTGTGCCAGAAATTAAGAATGCCACACCGCCAACACATTCACACACAGACACACCAAGTCGCCAACACTTATATTGTTATATGCTTTATGCCATGCCAACAGTTTATACCAAAAATTTGATTTAGTATTACGCCAAATTTGGCGTAATTCGTAAAATCCACAAACTTTCCACCATGGGTTGAGTGGAATTTTCAAGCTGTTAGCGTTGTATAATGTGATATGACAAAGCCAGGAAAACTTTGCCAGTGGAATGTTCACTATAAACGTGTAAGTTAAAACTACAATTGTCTCGGACATTTTTATGTAAATTATTAATAAGTAATACCATGGTTTCTCATGAGTGCATGCACTCATGAGTTTCAAAGACCTCAAATAGCACTTGTCCTTTGCACTCATGCTATTTTGAGGTCCTTGAAAAACTCACTCATGCATGTTGTATCCAAATTGCACTCGAAACCATGCTATTACCTATACTTATCACACACGATGGTCAGAATGTGCAAATTTTCTCCCACTTGTGCGGGCTCATTTTGTCAGTGGAGTTTCACAGTATACTTAAAAAATATTGTGTCATATTTCATCGCTTCCATGTAAATAGCAAATTCATGAATGACACTTGAATAAACACAAATATGTGAATTTGCACGCTAGTCTTTTGAATATAACGATTGTAAAAAGTTTCTGTGTGATCTATTAGCAATTTAAAAGATACCTAAACTGTAATACTGCCATATATTTAATCTCGCATTGTTTAATATTTGCACAACAGCAGTTTTGCTGTGGAATTAAAATTGTGTGTCATATGATATTTTTATTGGCAAATAGGTATTTGAGATATAGCAACATTAGTAAACAAATACACTGAAATCTTGGTTAGCACACCAACTTTTACCACTTTTAATGCAATATTAGTCAACTTATAAGAGAACGTGAGACAAATCATGCTGAATTATTCGACTATATAACTTGTAAGACAGACACACGCAATAATCCTTTATAGGTTTATTACAAATATGTAGACATTTGAGACGCCGTCAATGTCTGAAGGAATTTTAGGTACTTAAAGCCTTTGAATAAACGAGTTTGATGCATAATTTCTGGTCTTTTACCATAATAATCCCATGCTGGTTTTATCTGCTGCATTATAAACCTCCTCCACACAATACCCCTTCTTTAAAATACCAAACAGTTCTACAAAGCGCAAAATACTACCCAAGGGACACTACCCCTATTATAATTTTGGAAAAGAGAGGTGATGCAATGTAATAATGGGAAACTAAGTCCGAGAAAACGTGCATAATATATTCAAAATAATGTGCGAACTTGCTGACTTGCATGAAATTTATTTATCCTGCTATAGCTAAATCTTGCTGCTTGAAATACGACACCACTAAATCCCAAGTGGGAGGAAATTGAGCAAATCTGACCATCATGACATATTTATCACTGCATTTACTGAGCTATATTAATGCCTGGGCCTGCCCACGTTTTAAGCAATCAGTGCAAGGAACACACAAGACTTTTAGAGATGCATAGCTGTGATACAAGTGTGAGATATTAAAAGGGTTTTATATTTTGTATAGTACTATAAAATTTACAAGAGATTATGGGGAATATATTCTTTTTACGGATTCAAACCTTCGTGTGTGTTTACCAGGTTAGTATTTTGTATAATTTATACACCAATAAACAGATACTTTTTACTATATGTTATGTTCTAGTCAACGGCGCATGCCCTTACGAAAATTTCCTATAGGAATTCCTATAGGAAATCAAAATTCCTATAGGAATTCCTATAGGAATTGAAAATGGTCAAAAAAATACCTATAGGAATTCCTATAGGAATTGAAATTTCCTATAGGAATTGAAATTTCCTATAGGAATTCCTATAGGCATTGAAAATTCCTATAGGAATTCCTATAGGAATTAAAATTTCCTATATATAGGAATTCCCATAGGCATTGAAAATTCCTATAGGAATTCCTATAGGAATTGAAATTCCCTATAGGAATTCCTATTGGCATTGAAAATTCCTATAGGAATTCCTATAGGAATTGAAAATGGTGAAAAAATTCCTATAGGAAAAAATATTCCTATAGGAATTCCAATAGGATTGGAAAATGGCTATAGGAATTCCTATAGGAAATGAAAATTCCTATAGGATTTGAAATTTAGGAATTCTTATAGGATTGGAAAATGGTGGGAAAAATTCATAGCCTATACCACTATGGCCTGATACATGCATGGGTATAAGAACTTTACTTATATAAAAAATTATACAGATAAATATAATTTACGAAATAACTCCTTCCTACAGGAATTTCTATTTCTTATAGGAATTTTTTCACCATTATCATATCCTATAAGAATTCTTATAGGAATTTTAATTTCTTATACAACTACACTATTCCTATATCGTATTTTACTCATAGACATTTATTAATAGAGAATTTAATACTGGGACTATTTATTTTCTAAGATTAAATGAATAATTACCGCAATGTGCGCGACTGACAGACTGGTGTCTAGTTTTCTTGCCACGCGTGCAAAGCATCAAGGGATAGATCATCACACCTCCGATATTTTTTCAAGTCAGTGTTTGTCAATGGTTTATGTGCAAAATAGAACTATTTTTGATGGGATTCAACTGGATTTTCACTAGTAATACATCAGGGATGTTTGCATAATGTTCAGGTAAGAATAAGTTTATATTTTATTTATAATAAAGCAACTATAAAGGAAATACCTCCAATCTTCTTTTGTGAAATTCGAACATGTGGTTCGATAAAATTTGAATTTGCCGCGACAATATAAACGGAATTAGAATGCTGATATAAATATATTTATAGCGTTTATACTTCAACAAATGCTACTATAAAAGTTTTATATTTGAATCAGACTTATCCATGTTTATTAATATATTTGTAAATCCCAAGTGCCAACTGTATATGCCAGATTAATTGTAAATTGTCAGCCATATTTAATGCATGCCCATAGAAAATTTAACTACTTGCTCAAATCAGCAGCAGTATTTATTCATATGTTTTGTTTAAATTAAACAATTTTCATTTTGAGAGGTCTTGCACCGGTCAATGTATTAAAATCTGTTAGCCTTTAGACATGCTTTAGTGTAATGCCAGGAAAATTATCCATATTTTTCTATTAATTAAACATAACTATGTGATGGTATTCAAATTAACCAGACTCGATCTCTGCTAGCTTACATTTCATGCTAACTTGTTAAGATGAATGTGCTCAACTTTCAGTACTTTTTTATTTTACCTTGTCTAACACCAGATCATTTTACTTGAAAGAGAGTGGACAACTTTAATAGGTTACCTTGCTGTCTCCATGTGTTTTGTGTAAACTCATTAAGACCCAATTCACAAATTCACACTAATGTGCTCTATTTCAAAGCTCAATATTTTGCCCTGTTAATACCAGACTATTTTGCATTATTTGGCATTAGCACATTTAGATGCAATTCACCCTAACACTCAATCCCCACTTTCAGTACTTTGATATTTATCAGATGATTTTACTAATCAAAATGAATGTTGGTCATTGAAAGGTTAATAATTAACTGGAAAAGCTGCTGTGTGGCATATTTAGAAGCAATGTGCCCTACTTTTAGTACTTTGTTATTTTACTGTGTTTATTCTATTAAAGTGCTAGACTCTCCACTTAGAGTAAAATAATAAATTGGGTGCATTTGGGCATATTTAATGGGTTAACAAAACACATTGGAATGGTATACGTAAAATAAATGTATTTGTCTTTTTACAGCTATCAACAAAGTATGGATGTAAGGCCTCAGAGGTTCGTCAACATATGAGGACAAATATAAACAACATGGGAAAGTGCTGCAAAGTACAGAAAAGCAAACAAGAACAAGAACTTATTTGAGGACTATGTTTTGAGGCCAGTTTTAAACTTAACTTTAAATGTCAATTATGGTTATTACCTATGGTTTAGCCCATTAAGTGCCAGCGCTCTGACGAGTAAAATCGTCTGGCGTTAGACAGAGTAAACTATAGTAAAATAATAAAGTAAGGCGCATCAGGGCGCAATGTGATTCAATGGGTTAACTAGACACATATATAGGAATATAGGCTAGTTAACCCATTTGGAGCCAGCATTTCCCCTTGACATTCAAGTACAATTGTCTGGAGTTAGACAGAGTAAAATAGTCTGGCATTAGACAAAGTAAAATAGTTAAACAGAGTAAAATAATAAAGTAGGACGCATCATATGGCATTGCATTGAGGTAGAACGATTAATTTGGCACAATAGGTGAAAACTATAATTGATTTGTAAAGTTTAGTATAACCAATTTCTCATATTAATTTTTATATTTGCAATATTTATTAATATTTATATCTATTTTTTCCATTAAAAAATTAAGAGTGATGAACAACATTGTCTGTCATTTACTATTATTTCATCTAGATTCTAGAATTTCTGCAGGAATACCAAAAATCTTTAATATATAAATAATATATAAAAAATAATAAATTATTTTCTTATAGGAAATTCCTATAATAATTTGGGACTAGACTTGAGAATTCTTATAGGAATTCTTCCTATTAAATTCTTATAGGAATTCCTGTAGAAAAAATTCCTATAGGAATTTTTCCTATAGGAATTCCTATAGGAAAAATTCCTATAAGAATTTGCCTATAGGAATTTTTCCTATAGGAATTTTTCCTATAGGAAATTTTCGTAAGGCATGTCAATAACTAAAAAAGCCACAATGGTTTCTTTATGCCTTCAAGACCAAATGTTAAAATGTTTATCCTTTTATTATTTTTGATAATTTTATATCACATATTAAACATATTAATCTATCTATCTATCTTGTGCGACTGCCAAGCTTTGAATTAAACCTTGAATATTTGAAACCCAAAGGCTGTTTCATAAAATATCACGTCATGACATTGTTTATAGAAACAAAAATGATAACAAAACGGCAGTATGTTTCAATTTAAGTGTCTGAGAAGAAAAACATTTAAACAACAATACATCACATGAAAACCTAGGTAAAACCTTTGTGTTGATTAATGAAGCGTAGATCTACAAAATAAGACTATTTTGAAACTTTGATATTGAGTTGTTACAACCGCCAAAGTTGTCAAATTTTCATGCCGTGGAACGTCATTAAATTACATGGCACCGATATTCGCCATCAATACCTTGTGTTCAACCATGAATCTGGGGTCTTTTTGGATAATATGGGTATCAGAGGAAAGCAAAGGATCTCATCTTTACCATGAGCTGTGATTTTTTTTAAATCTCAATTCTGAATGCTTTCTACTTTAGAAAGCAATCAAACATTTACAATTTCTCACTTTTATTCTAAGAAATGTCAAGAAACATTTTATAGTTGAAATCTTTGTGAAATAAGCTTTTGTTTGATATATATTTTGTCATGTAAGAGTTCGGAGGTCATCCCGGATTTGCATTTAAACATAAGTTAAACTTCAGTTATTTTATCAGATTCGATGCGAAGTGACGAAGACATGTGTTGTGAAAGTTGCAACAACTTTAGTGAAAGTGATTTAACAGCACTCGTCAACAATTCTACTAAACCAGGTGGAAAGGTGAGACCAAAATTTGTTATCTTTTTATGAAAATGTTTGAAGCCAGTGGTTGTTGTCCATGGAAACCAACGTGAAATAGCCAGAAATAGCCTATACTTGTATTAGACCAAAATATTACTGTGCCAAAGTACATGGTAAATCTTAAGCAAAAAGTAATCAGATCCATGGAAAAGAATCCCTGTAGTGGTTGCAGTGTTATTGTAGAGCTTTCTTCGGAGACCAGTATAATAGGAGTGGCATACCATAATACAACAAACTTGAACTCAATTGAGAGTTAGACTAAAAAGTAATGTGCCGGGTAAAAAAGAGACTATTAAATAATATGTTTGGGGTGTATACGCCATTATTATTGGTTGAACTAATGTCTGCTGTTTTATTCTTAGTGTACATCAATTTACCAATACCACATGGATTGGATATGCCAACAGATTCAACATGTATGCTAGCTTTTCTAAATGAATCACCAAGACAGTATGTGGAAATTGAATGATTAATGGAACAAGCAGTCCAGTTTCACATACATAGCTCAATAATTTTTGTTATAAGAAATGTATCTTTCATCATCATTATGAAAATATTGAAAACAATTGTTTTCCCAAGTAAAGTGCTTCAAATTTGCAATGAATTTGCAATGGTGTGATGTCATCAGTGACATCATAAGTTTTGTTGCGTTGTCATGGAAACAGGCTATGTAAAGTTTGTTTAGGGTTTTTTAGTGCTTACAGTAAGGAAAGTGAAAAAATCTATAAAATATCATGAATAAATCTCGGAAACAATGACAAGCACATTTATCCAATAAGAATGCAGAATAATGACATCACATGGTTTCCATGGCAACTGAAAAAGTTATCTGTGGTACTTTGGATCACAAGTAGCATTGTCTTGCAAACATTTTATTTCTAAAAAGTAACGTTTTATGGTGACAAAACACGATAATTGTTCAGAGCAATGACGTTATCATGTTTCCACAGTAATGCAATTTTGTAACATTTTATGAATTTGTACTAATTAATTATTAATTAGAATTGTATAACAGGTCATACAACATTTTTGTAATGGTTTTGTGTGCAATAAATTATCTAATTACAGTTTGCATCATACTTTTTGTCATTCAATGATGTCATACGATTGCCATAGCAACCGTAAGTGTTCAACTGTTGCACCATGTTGGTGCTTTGTGTGTTACCAATGTACTCTGAAAATTTCATGGTGATCGGATGAAAGGTCTGGAAGTTAGCACCTCATATGTTGAAAAAATTGGCTTACACATTTGTATGCATTTACACTATGTGCCTCTTACAAAAAATGGGTTAACATTCCGACTTTAAATTGCCATAACTTTTGATTGCCTTAATCGATTTTGATGAAACAAAGACCAAAATGTTTTAAATGACGAGCTTATTCCTAATTACGGAGCCCACCTGAAAATTTGAAAGTTTAGCTGTTATCCCTACTAATGGCTGGTGGCCGACCGTTATATTGATCCCTGGTGCTAGGCAGTGCCAGTGTGTAGTATAAACAATATGATAATATATGTAGTATTTTTACAGCTTAACATGACTGCACTGTATATTAAAATGTGAAATACACTATTTACTCTGTCTAATGCCAGACAATTTTACTCGTCAAGGGGCAAGCACCATAATTTTCTCCTGGATGCCGAAAGACTCTAAGATCTTGACAACTTGCTGACTAAATACTTCAAACGTCTTGACAACATACTGTAAGTTTCCACTATTTACAGTATATTATTAAGCTTAATTAATTTATCATTTAAATGTTTATTTATACTATCCATACTGTAAAACAGTTTTCACTGGCTGCCAAAAGACTCTAGGTCTTGACAACCTGCTAACTAAAGACTCGAAGTCTTGACAACATAAGTTTCCACTATTCACAGTATAATATTTCGTTTAATTTATCATTTAATGAAATGTTTAATTATACTATCCATACTGTAAAATAATTTCCACTGGCTGCCGAAAGCACAGAATAAGGAAAGAACAGAAGGGCAACTTGAGTGTGCAATGCATCCTCTAAAATTTGCCTTTTTTGTTCAGGTTTTTCAATGATTGTGAACGTTTTTGACAAAAGATGAAAGAAATAAGATGAGGCATTGCAATTTATTAGGTAAAAGCAATCTAAAATGTTTTATCAGCAAATACTGACTGTTTTACTTGCTTGTTAAAAGTTGTATATTTGTATATTAAATACAAATGTTTGGTATATTCTCAAGTAAATGGCACAGTACTCCTATTTTATCAGATATTTATGTTAGCTCAAATCTTCATAACAATGTGCTTACATTAAGAGCATTGTTTCATCCCAATTTTCCGTATTTAGCCCAGTTGAGTATTGTATAATGTCTGTTTCCATATCAGACATATTTTCACATTATTTCACCTGATCTGGATGTATTTTCACATATACTACAAATAAAACAAACTGAAAGACTATAGTATACAAATGTGCTGCAGGTGAATTAGAAACATTGCTCATGCTAACTATGCCCATATCCATAGAAGCATTTCATCTATTGTTTTTTTATGTCAAACAGGTATTAAACAGCATCAGAAAAGTCAGAAATTGTTGTTCTTTCTTTTATGTTATAATTATCAAGACTATATTTAGAATATAGAGTCACCATACTTTTTGTGTGCATTGGTGTTATGTGCTCTGGTGAATATGATGTTTGTGGCATTACTCTGAGTGTGCATCCACGCCAGGCAAATTGAAAAGTTTGCCTGACCATCAGACCATGGACGAAATCTAACCTGCGACCTTTGGGTTACCACTCCAATGCTCTACCAACTGAGCTACGAGGTCGTCTGAGTATATAACACTAACACACACAAAAAGTATCATGTCTTAGAATACATTGGTATCAAAGGAACCACACTTAGTTCCAAAATATCACCAAGTCTAACTGATTTAACCTCGTAGTTCAGTTGGTAGAGCATTGGACTGGTATCCCAGTAAGGTCACAGGTTCAATTCCCACCATAGTCAGGCAAACTTTTCAGTTTGCCCGGTGTGGATGCACATGCCGAGTAACACCACAAACATCAAATTATGACCATGTTTACACTTCATGCCTGACAATCACTGAAACAGGCAACACATCAATTTGCCTGAGTGTATGGAATGTACAATTCCTCTGCACCAGACGGCAGTGAATCTAGGCTCTAGGAATTGTGTATCGTTTTTGTGCCAAAAGATATGACAGCAATATATAAAGCTGTTGTGCACTGAATCACTGATTTGTGCACCAACATGGACAGCCTTTTCTTTCCATGCTTGGCAATTTAGGCCTCTAGCACAACTAGGTCAATCTTTGCCAGAAACTATGGGACAGCTGCTGCAATTTCATATAGTTTGAAAGGAATAGCACCCCCCGTTCCCCCAGTTCAATGTTGGGCCAACAAAAATCTGATGTCTGGATGCGCGGTGCCAACATTGAAACGGGTGGGGGGAGGGAGGGTGGAAAATATGTATCAGGAAATGGTATATTACAACCGAATGCATGTGAAAACTAGATTGTCCCAATCTATATTGTCAAAGATTGTAGGTCAAGCTGGCAATGTGGCCCTTTTATAACATGGTATTATCCATGTCATAATTTTTGTTTCATTTACTTTAATTTCTGCCTTCTGGACATGCTCAAGCCTTGGCAACAAGTACTCAAGTTTTACTCTCTTCAAGACCAATTTGTCAATGATTGGATCATATTGTGTTGTCTTTGTAATATAATATATGTATGCCAGAATGGCAGTGCAGAAACATTAAAATTTTTTATGAAAAAAATTTTTATTTTTATCTTATTAAGCTTTCATTGTACAAAGTATATATATTACATGTACAATGAGGCAAGTTTACAACAGGTACATACCCAACAAGGTAAACTGCCAAAAACAATTGTTAGTTATATAGACTGACGACGATAACAGAACATAGTACGATTCACATCAACAAAACACAGTAAACAATACAAAAAACATTGTGCAAAAACATTTAAGTGAAAAAAAGAGACAGTTAACAACATTGTCTGTAAGATGAGGAGGTCAGATCACGTGTAAAGAGACATTTTGGACAGACAGATTTCCAGGTTGAGATATTATCACAGTCAAATGTAGAATCCAGCACAGACTTGTAATGATTATAAAGAGCAGATCTGAAACAAGCGACCGATGAAAGGCAACAGGTTGACGTAGTTAGACTGTTCCACAGTTTAACAGTTCATACAAAGTAACTTTTTTGAAACTGAGAGGTTTTACATTTTGGGACTACATAATCAAGGGAGCAACTGTGTCTAGCTGATTTCAGTAAAATTTTTGGCTGGATTAAATTGGAGATGTCAACATTGTAGAAACCATTGATGATTTTGAAGAAGATCCTTTTGAACAAGATCCTTAATTTCATGCCAATAGCAGACGGGCAATAGTCTCAATGCTAGTAGTCTGTCTTTGTAAGATTGATAAGGGTTGTTGTATCCGAGAATAAATTTTGTTGCGCGTCTTTGAATCCCTTCAACCATGCCTAAATTCTTACCAGAGAGCAGACCACACTTCACTGGCATAGCCCAAGTTGGAACGGACTAAGCTTAGGTATAAGGAGCGTTTGGCTTCGATGCTAAAACGAGGATCTGAAGTTCTGTGCAGAAATCCCAGCATTTTCTGGGCTTTGGAACAAATATGTAACGTATGAAGATCCCATTGAGGGTTGGAGTAGTTAACACACCTAGATCTTTCTGAGATATGGTTTTTGAGATTGGTTTGCCATTAATAGTATAAACACTGTTCACTGGTTGCCTTTTACGAGTGACGGATAGAGATTCACACTTTTCAAAGTTGAATTTCAACGACCAGTGGTGAGTCCAAGAGCTTACTTTAGTGATATCATCCTAGATTTCTCTAACATCTGATGGTGAATTGATGATTCTAGCAAGCTTTGTGTGAATACTCTATACGTTGAATACTCTGATATGTTGAATACTCTTTCATTTTTCTCCTAGTATTACATTGTGCAAGATGTGGACACCAAATATATAGGGCTGTTCTGTATGAGATGTGCTGGCATTACAAAATGGACCAGGCTGCTTAGGTACCCCCATTTCAAGTTCGTATTCAAATGTGGATACATGCTTTATTTTACCATTCAGACACCTATAAATCTAAGAATGTGGAAACTATCCAAAATTATATTGCAATTTATGCATAATGCTTGCAGGCTAGCCTACCTCCACTAGTGTATGAAGGCAAGCTTACCTGGTTTACCAGGCCAGCCCAACTCTTGTGAACAGCTCTTAAGGGTAGAATGTGAATGAGTTTCATTTGAACGAGTTTAATTTCATTTTTCATTTCATTTGAGTTTCCTTTTGTTCCTGGATATCTTAATTTTTTAAACTTTTTTGCTTTAAATTTCATGCAATATTACATATAGTTCTAAATAATTGTCACAGCTTTGTTATACACAGTTAAGTCATAGATCAAATGTTTATGGAAATTGTTGGGGGGGGGGGCGGGAGGGCCCCCCTAGTGTCTGCCCCTGAATATATGCATTTGAACTATTGTGACAAATCAGACTTGTTTTAGACTCGTACACTTGTGCTTCTTAAAATACCAATTTGGACTTGTTGAAAGTTTGTTTATAACATATGAAGTACAGAACTAAGTAGTTCCTATGCAAGATAAAATCAGCTTGTAGCCAATGTTCAAAAGGTATCTTTGAATGTTTGAAAGAGTTCCAAGGTTATTTTAGACAAATCTAATTGAATATTGGGCTGTGCTGGAACCATACTGACCACTTTCACTTCCTATTCTGTGATAGTGACTTTGCCACTTCTAAAACAAAAAAATACATTAAATTCAAGGAATGTAGAATTAAGAAATTGATCAAACTTGTACAAGAAAAACGGCTATAAACACATAGAAGTGACCACATGTGCATAA